TGTTTGATTTGTATGGTATGACTCACTACTCAATGGTATGGTATTTATTATTAGTACAGTAGTAGTGGTCAAGAGATATATCCAATTGTCTTTTCTATATATACATTACCAGTGAATCAAAATCTTTAAGGCTTTTCAGGCAATTGATTGTTTGTATGCAATAGTATTAAAGAACAGTCGGTTTTCGCACTCATATCATATCAATACCAGTATATAATCAAAACTGAATGGGAATTACAATACAGTATTTCAATTGGGATGAGAATTAAATGTCTTAATAAGCGAAATAAATGCAATACATGTTTGTTTGGATACATTGGTTGGTTTTGGGCAAAGAATATATTGTTTTATATTGTATTATGTAATCACTAGAAGTACTGTTTCTGTACGTTATGAAACAATTTGAGCTCATTTTCTATATTTATATTATAATTATTTTTTTCAAATATCAATAATAATAGTAATAATAATAAATTTAAATCTATTATTTGGCATCAATAGATAAATCTCACCCATGGGTGGGGCGTTTGTAAAAATGTCCATTCTCATATTTCTCATATTATTTTGAACTCTTCGTATATCTTATCTTCACTTTGTTTTCTAATGAATTAACAATTGATTTGAAACCGAAAAACAAAAACCATTTCTTTCTCTTGTATTTGTGATCATTTCCTTTTGGCGTTAATTTGAAAAAAGTTTTTTGATTTGTTTTGTGGAGCATTCAAAAAACGAAGTCATATATTGTGGTTTCGGGAACTAAATATTCACTAAATGTTAACCGGAAACGGGTGGTAGTGTTTGACAGGCCTTGAGTTCGGTGAAGATCTCGGTGAAAAAGGCCGGTTCGCTATTGATTCGCAACATTTTACTACTGAGCAAATTGATGATGAAAAGGGATCGCTTCCAGAACTTGTCACGACTCTCGTTCTCCACCAGAAATGGCTTTAATGGATACGAGATCTCGTTTCCCATATAAGCGTAGCTGAGGTAAAGACAGGTGAGAACCACTGCCTGCAACTCCTTCTCGCTCTCCACGTCTTCCTGAATCAGTTCCCGTAAAAGCATATATAGAAACACAACGTTTGCCGGGTTTATGAATGCAATGTCCTATTGGAGAGACCAATGAAATTCAATTAACGTATTGTCTCATCATTTGTTGATAACGTCTGAAACGGACACTAATATTCTTAATCATAAATCTTTTGTCACTTTTGTGAGAGAGATGCGAGAAAATGATAACATAATAAAAAGCTTAACATTTAGTGTAAGTGCAGTGTATTTGTCAACAGATTTTGTTGTAAACGATAGCAATTGGAAAACGATTTAATTGTGATAATGTTTCTATTCTTATACTCTAACTAATTGTTTGCAATCTCTTTACTTTATGTGACAAAACAGATCCAAAACTAATAAAGAAATTGGTGTTTGTGTCCAATAAATGGCTACAATTGATCATTACCTGCCATCCCTGCAACAGTAGCGATCTGTCAACAGCCCTCAGCCATATAACTGCATCTCCGGACTGAAAGTTCTTCAGTTTATGGCATTTGTTTGCAAGGAAGTCACCCAAACATCTCAAAAGCTCAGATGTTGACGCCTTGAAAATGAAAAAAAAAACATTTTAAAATTAGTTTTTAATTTTGATAAAAATTTTTCTATAAACTACAATAAGTTTCCTTCAGTTTCAAAATCATTTAATCACTGATTAATTGACAGATATATTATATATGGTGTCCTTCTGATTAATGATATATTCCTATTGATTATAGCAATACTTAATATGTCTTCAGAAAATTTGCTTTTCTAGCAAAATAAGGATTTCATATAAATTTTGTTTTCGATCTCAATATATCTTTTTTGAGTAAAGAGGACAGGAATTTATATCATAAAGTTTATGATATATAAACCATTCTCTTATAGTTAATGTTTTTAAATATTACGTTAGATTTTAAGTTATAAATTGCAGATATTTCTAATTAATTACTATTTTTATTATTAATTTATATATTCTACAAACTTAATTTATCTTACTATTAGTTTAATGTGTTTCTAACAAAATACTTAAAAATACATTTAAAAAATATCATAGGTTACAAATCAAACATTTCACATATTTTCCAATTGATTCAGTAATTTATTTGTTTATTAGTGGATAATAAGAAAAATATTTTGTCAGAAGTAAAATGTAGGAAATGATATATTAGCAGAAAACCTATAAACCGTAACCAAAATAGCATTTTATTTAAAGACATAAACACATATTTCATGACCCTTTCATAGCAATATAGATATGTTTTATGACCAAATAATTTAATTTGTACCCTCTTTACTGTGTCTTATATAAGAGATCTATAAATTGGACGCAAGTATTGCATGTCTAACATGAGAGGCATTACATATACTATTATTTATTATCTAATCCTATATTCCATTTGTCAGGTATGCCATGAATTACACAATATTTTATATATGAATACATTTTGATTAAATCTATGGAATATTTTTGTTTTTTGTATTATTCTCTATCCTTAATCATAAATATATTAATAATGTAAATTATATTTTTCGTGAAATTCATATTCACTGATATGAGAAAGAATTTGAAATTAAAAAATATGAATCAATTTCGTAACAAAAAATGTTTTTCACTTTCAGCTAAATAGTCGTATGATTTGATTTATAAAAGTTGTATAAATAAGTATTATGAAAGCAGTCTTATTATATGATACATTGGTTGTATAAATTACTTATTTTGCAATTCGTATGAAAACCAATGGAAACGTGTTATTCAACTCAAATGATATCCTGTTTCAAGTAATAATCAATAGCTTAGGAGTTAGACCTTTGCGATGGGATTATCTAATGTCTTGTATGACTCATACAAGACTTAATCGCATCTGTTTTTTGTCTCCAAAAACATCGATACAAAGCTTTTGGCAAAATTGAGTCTACAATAAGACTGTCGCTTAAATCTAATATCATATTTGATGAGAAAAACTGTTAGATTAAACTGTCTCACAATAAATAAGTTTTCTTTAAATTAAAAAACTAAACGACAACTACAAGATTGAAGACAAACACGAGTTGGCAACTGAGTGCCAGCAGTG